GGGGGGGGGGGGGGGGGGGGGGGGGGCAAGGGATCACAAGCAAGGGACAGCCACTACGAGCAGCTTTAGACCGCCGCGTACTGGTGTGCAGGAAAGGCAGGGAAGAGTAAAGTGTTTCTACGCGAATGCACGCAGCAGGGGGGGGGGAAGCGCTGGAGGATTCCATCTTTTCTCGCCGCAATCGGAGCGCGGACATCTATCCGGCTTCCATAATTTCACGCTTATGATCAGGGGTGCAAGGGGAATGTGTGACCTTCGCAAAGAATAATGAAACCTACCATGCCTGCAACTATCAAAGATGACATCCATTCATCGATGGATGCATCAGGACAGCCCTACTTTTCTTCGTTCTACACTGTCTTTGGACATCGGCACCGGCAGATAGGAAACCTGCTGATGGTGCCATACCGGCGGTTGCCGAAACATCGGTACAGCCGTAAAATAAGCAACGTCCATGTAAAAAAATCACTTTGATTTCACCTTAAGTAGAGATGAAACGCCCCAAGGCAAGTTAAAAGTTAAGCCTGCATACTAAAGTGATAGGAATATACAGAGGGGGTTATCCAATGTACGTTTCGAAATCAAGGCAATATAAGAACAGTCCACTTCCGCAGCATGCACCTGGGCAATATAAGAAGAGTTCACTTCCGCAGCATGCACCTGATGAGATCGAGCCGGGAGACTGAAACTGACGACAAAAAAAAAATCTTATTGGGCTTCCCTCTCTTTTCTCACTTCCTGTCTCCGATCCGACTTTTTTTTCCCTTCACGTCTTTCATATAGTCAGTCCCAAAATTTCCAGAATTTGATTGTGATAAGAAATTGCTCGCCCATGCGTGTCACGCCGCTTCTTCCTTTCCTCGCCCGGACGGACTGTTTTGTACAGTACTCGCCTCAATTCAATGGGGCATTTCCCCTTTAAAATATTTTGCCGATGCATCGCGATGGTCAAAAACACTATCGATATCTCCAACTATCGATAGTGGTATCGATGCATCGATCTATCGTGACAGCCCTAGTCAAAATTAGTGAAAAATGGAAAAGCAAAATTAGTTGATGATGCCACATTGTTTCTGCTCACAATGACCTAGTGACTCAAAAAAAAGGTCCCTTTTCTATCATCTTGTGAAGTATTAATTACATGGCTTTTGTAGTTAATCCTCCATAATTTTTTATTATTAAGATATTAGTTTGTAATAGATACCTTCACACAACATTTTCATTAAAGTACTGTCCCTGCAGCTGCACATTCTTGACACTGTCCAAACAATTTTCCTAATATGTCTTAGATCCAGTTTTTGAAAGCTTCTTCACAGTAACTGTTGCAGCAGCTATGACTTCATCAGCACTAGCAAATCTTCATACCCTCATTCTTGAGAGAAATAATAGTCACATGGAGCTAGGTCCAGAGAATATGATGCATGTGGTAATACTGTCACAGAAAAATTGGCAAGGAATGCTTGGACCAGGAACAATTGAAGCGCAGGGGCATTGTTATGCAGCAGCTTCCAAGTCTGGATGCTCAGAGGTTGGGTGGGTTGCTTATTTGTTACACTGTCTCCATATACTTCCAGCAATATCAGAATCTCCATTGGTGTACTATTCAGTAAATGCAAATTTTGATGTTTCCTTTCTGCTCAATAATTGACATGTTGCCTGTTTGAATGCCAAGTAACAACTAACTGTGTAAACATGGTGCAAGTAACAACTGACTGTGCAAGCATAGTGGTAGAACTATAAATGACTGAGTGCATGAATTCATAGTGTTGTCTACTGACAAGTTTTGATATTGGTGGCACATTTAGAATTGCATATTCTGGGTGATGCAAAAAAATACACAGCTCTTGTGTTCTAAGATTATCTGGAGTTCACAAGGTAGCAAATAGTGCAGAAAATTTTTTTTGCAACAACTTCTCTGCATCCCTTTAAACATCCAAAAATTATTGTCTGTCTCCATCCATTTCATTATTGGAGCAATAACCCAAAGGCAACTCAAATTTTATTTTTGTGTGAGGAAACATATTGGCAGGAGAGTAGTTGGTACACCTAGACCATACCAATTTATAGCAAAATCTATTCATGAAAATGCTATCCTTTGCTAAAGGATGGGCTGGTGCAAGAATTTTATGGTAAAGGATAATGGTAATGTAGGCCTTCAAGAGATTGATTCCCAAGCAGTGAGAAACCTATTCATCTGAGAGGAAGACGAGTGCAAGATTAAAACTAGCCAGAACTGAAGGATTCATGTCAAAAAAGTCATTGTTTATCAAGGTGATTATCCTGGAATGCAAAATTCCCATTCACAAATCGCCAGATGTAAGGGTTAGTCAGAGACCAGCCTAGTGGATTCTGAAGTGCATAGGAAACAACATTTGAAAAGAAGCCAGTAGGGCAGGTATTCTCATCAGCTACTAGGTGTAAGTGCAAAAATAATATTCATTTGTTTTTTTTTAAACACATTTATGCTAGAGGTATGTGAGAAAAATTTTTAGGATACTCAAAGAATGCAAGACAGAATGCAAAGAAAGTATGGAGGAAACTTTGTTTCTAGCTGTTGTTTCAGAGCCATCACAAACTTTCTAAGAGCAGCTAGTTTTTGCCTCACCCAGATCAAATAGTCTTCCACAACCTATTTGAAACTACCTTTTTTTATTATCATTGCAGCCGTGTTGGTGATACAGCCATACCAGGTGCTGGTGCATATGTGGATAAGAATGTTGGAGCAGCTGTAGGAACTGGAGATGGTGATATCATGATGCGTTTCCTTCCCAGGTTGAGCCCCCTGCATGCCTTGTACAGGCCATAAGTAACTACTTGATTTGAAATAGCAATATTTTGTTAAATTTTTTTTGCAGAAATGTAGTAGAAGCCTGGGAGTTTATGATGAACCAGTATACACCTCAGCAGCATGCAAGAATTGTTGGCATTTATTTCAGAAACAATTGTTCAATTATTTCAACATGGAGAGAATATCACAGATATTTTAAGACCCGAATGGCTCCAACTCTGCACTGTATTCAGGCGTTGATTTCCCTATTTCAGGAATCAGGAACAACGATGGATGCAAAGTGTGTTGGCAGACCTCGAACAAGTCGATCCCTGACTTCTATTGAGCAAGTAAGGGAGAGTGTCAATGAGAACCCTGAAACTTAGATAAGGAGACGCTCCACTCATTGGGGATTGCATGACAGTCGCTGCAGCAAATCTTGGTATAGGACTTGCATCTTTTTCCATATAAGATACTGTTGGTGCAAGAATTGCAGCCCAGAGACCATTAAAGCCGCCTAGAGTACTCACGTGCTTTCAATGAACTTGCAGACCAAGATGATGCAGTGGCTTCTGATGAATGATTCTGGGATTTACTGAACCCCAGAACCTGCAATTTTGTTTGTTGACAAAGCTGCTCAGGTGAAAATGAGCTTCATCTGACATTAAATTTGTAATGAAAGCATCGTCTTGGTCTGCAAGTTCAATGAAAGCACATGAGTACTCTAGGCGACTTTAATGGTCTCTGGGCATTCATTCACCATTCATGCACCAACAGTATCTTATATGGAAAAAGATGCAAGTCCTGTACCAAGATTCACTGCAGCAACTGTCGTGAGATCCCCAATTGAGCAGAGTGTCTCCTTGTCGAAGTTTCAGGGTTCTCATTGACACTCTCCTTTACTTGCTCAATAGAAGTCGGAGATCAACTTGTTCGAGGTCTGCCAACACACTTTGCATCCACCGTTGCTCCTGATTCCCGAAATAGGGAAATCAATGCCTGAATACAGTGCAGAGTTGGAGCTGTTCCGCGTCTTAAAATATTGGCGATATTATCTCAGCGTTGAAATAATTGAAAAATTGTTTCTGAAATAAATGTCAACAATTCTTGCATGCTGCTGAGGTGTATACAGGTTCATCATAAACTCCCAGGTTTCTACTTTATTTCTGAAAAAAAAAATTAAATAAAATCATTTAAGACAAAATACTGCTATTTCAAATCAGGTACTCATTTATGGCCCACCCTGTATAACCTATCACTGCTGCATGGAAGTCCTTCATTATAATGAACCCTTTCAATTCCAGCCTTATAGCAGTGGAGAAGATGCGAGAAGGTCTCACCCCTGCATTAGCAGCCAAAGAGGCACTGGATCGGATTGCACAAATTTATCCAAATGCAAGCATGGGTATTGTAGCAGCAACAAGACAGGGAGAGTTTGGTGCTGCATGTCACAACTTTGAAGATTTCTCAATATCTTTGGTCAATCCAGCTGTTGGGAATGTACTAGTTATACCTGTTCCATGTGAGGCTAACTCATGAAGAAGCCATCATATAATGAATAAATTACAGCAGAAAAAGACTATTTTTGGATTATTCTTATGGAATTTCCAACATCCTGCAATTTGTGTACTGTTATGGAATATTCATTATCTTTTCAGCATGATTAATGTGACTTTTTCTGCAAATGCTCAAATGTGACCCCTTTTGTTCATGATGGAGTCTGTCATTGTGATGTGAGTAATGGTCTCTTGAGATGTGCCAGCACAATGAAAGCAGCATTCTCAATTGTATGCAACATGTCCCTTGGTCAAAGTGAACAACTTTTTAAGATGGCTTTTTATCAAAACAACAGCACAGGCAACTATGGAATGCTTCATCACATGGAGCCTCATTCAATCTATACACTGATAATCTTTCACACATTATTCCACCATAAGCTGAGGCTGGTGAAAGTGTAGAAACCCAAAAAGGTAAGCATTGAAGACTGCAGGACCTCACTCATCTTTTACATTATAGGCATCCACATAAGGGATAAATTGAAGTCTTAGAAATTAAGTAGAAGAGCATTGCTAGTCCTACTGTAGAGATGATGCTCTTGCCCCCAGTTTTTTTTTTTTTTGGCACAAAGGAGTACAAGGTATCTGCAATTGAAAGCTTAGTGGAAGATTTTGCATTCCTCAATGCCTTCTCAGGTGGGTTTTTTTTAATTACTGGTGTTAGCCTCAGCCTATAATTGAATGATGTTGAATAGGATCTGTGCACAGTACTAGTAGGGCAGAAGTAATAAATGCTAATACAGCCTTAAAGGAATATATGGTACAAGGTCTTACATCAGTTGCAGCACCAAATGGATAAAATATTCTATGAAAAGGCAATGGAAAAATAGGACTTGGCTCAACATTTTATCATTCTCTAACTAACCCTCAGCATTTGCAAAATTTCTCTCTTGATAGAGCCAATAGAATTACCTTCAGATGGAATTGTTTCCAATGCCTGAACCAGTTATCATTCAAATGGCATTTGGCCTAAGGAAGGAGACCTAGTGCTATTGCCATTATGTATGGAAATACTGAAGAGAGTATTCCTGATTTTGAGTTTCCAATTGTGGCATGGAAGACTGTTGAAGATGTACAGCAATTGGAGGAGGCTGAGGAATGATACCAGTATCAGTATTGTCATTGTTTGGCACATCTTGTGTAGGCTGAGTCACACCCCAGATTTGAGCATGTCCATTTCCCATGAGGAGAAGGTTCACTTGCCCTATTCCCTGAATCATGGCTGGAACTATGACACCCCCATCTGGTATAACAGCATTGGTCACACAAGACTGAACAGGCATGGTTGACACAGATATCACAGACTGCTGAGACACGTCATCTCGTGATCCATCTCTTCCTTCCTTTGAGGTTTCAGGATATTCTTTCTCACCAGATGTTGGTTTATGAACCCTTTTTCTCTTCCCAGGCTTCTGCTGTTCTGCTGAACTGGAACTCGACTCACTATCTGTGACAATACGCCTATGTAATGAAAAATAGTCTTGAGGCCTCACTTCCTCATGTAGAATTTTGGTGTAGAGCCAGTGCTTGACAAGGGGCTCCACCTTCAACTTCCGTGGAGTCCTTGTATTTTCATTATTCTCATTTGCTCCCATTTGAAAGCTGCTTTCACCATCAACCCGATTGAGCTCAAGATCAGAACCCTTTTCAGCATTCACTCGGTTAAGCATGAGATCACTGACAAAGTGTATTCCAAGGGTCTCCATTGAGTCACCAATGGTAAAGTCAGATTCTTCTCTGTTCTTGGGCAGATCCAACACTTTCCCCTTCTTTGTGATTTGGTATCTACCATAATTGGGATCTTTCTTTTCCAGGAAGTCCCTCCACATCTTCGTAATATTCAGATCTGGTCCATTTCCTCTATCATCCTTCCAGAACTCTCTTAGCTGAAATTTAAAAAAAAAGGGAAAAATGTACAGCCTTACAGCTTCCGTGTTTATGATGGCATCATGAATAAATGATATACAGGAAAACCTCGTTAATTTGAAATCCATGGGAACAAAAATAGAGACTTTGAAATAAGGGGGTTTAATATTTTCAGTTTGGTCATTGTTACTTTGTAATACTGTACTATTATTATACAGTACTATCTGTGTGTTTTGCACCTTGTATTCTCTTCCTTTTGTTGGTTTCATGGCCATCTGCCAGCTTTTCAATGGTGCCATGATTTTTAAGAAATGTGGATAGAGTTGAAAGCAGTATGCTGAATTCTTTTGTAATATCAGTCTTCAATTTTTATTTTTTGTCCATTTCACAAATAACTTTCAACTTCTGTGAAATACTTAACTTGTACTTGCTCATTTTTGTCAGGGCACATTTACCCCATTTCACTCACAACACAGAGAGACTGTGCTACCACTATGCAATGTTTTTTGACTGAAGGTCATACAACATGTGAATGAGATAGGAAAGGGTAGAAGGGGAGATTTAGTAAAAGGGGGTATCAGTCTATATTTAGAATTATTTTGAATAGAAAAATGAAGTTTCCAAGGCAATTAGCTGGCTTTGCAGCCATTTAGAGTGCCAAGTTTGAGACCAGTCATCCATGCCCTTTGAAGAAAACAAACACCTTTCTGAGTTTATAGCTCACAGAACCAGAAAATTCCTTCAAATTTCATAGTATCCATACTATAAAGCATACAAATCGCTATCCTCTCTGAAAAGGAGCAAAGATGACTTCAAAGTATCTGATATCGAATTAATGAGGTTTACCTGTATGACCAACAAGATGAAAGTCATGATACTCACCCTGTCAGATTTGAGAATAGATTTGATATGCCCCCTGACTTGTTCCACAAGTTCTGAGGCAACTTTCTTGTGGTTTGCATGTCTCCCTCTTTCATCTCGAGGGAAAAGAACATTTTTGTCCAACTTTTGACACAGAACTCTTATCTTGTTGAAGGTAATGCCATGGATGTTGGCGAATGCCTGCCGGCAGACTTGAACTTCAGTCCCACAGATGCGAACATGATAGTGGAAAGTACTCCGTCTTGTCTTGATGTTACTTCGATCAGCTCGCCTATTCAAAACTGGTTGCTTCCGAATGAGACTATACAAATAAGCATTCTGTTCATTGTGATCATGCAGAGAATAGTAGCTATTGAAGATATCCAGTCTTATATCTTCAGAAACTTTGACATAACAATTTCTGTGACATCCACAGTCAGAACCCAATTCCTTCTCTTTCACAAGTTCGCCTTTCACATTGACATATGCTTTCCCAGCTATACGAAGTCTCTTCCTCTTCTCCCTCTGCCATTCTGTATCAAAAGAATCAATCAGAATCAAGATCCCAAAGAGATACTAAAAAATATATTGTTACAGATGTAACCCAACCAATGTTGGGTTGAAAAATACAATATTTTGTGAGTTTTATCCACTTTGAATATCTGCATTTAGGAGAAGGTTAAGTATTCACTACAAATTAGATTACATTCTTTTAAAATTGTCATATGCCAAATCCATTTCAAATATAAACAGAAAGGAAATCTACCCAGACAAAATTCTCTATTGCTCTGTACAGAAACACTAGTATGTTAACATGATATGATGCAACAATGCGTCTGCTGCCATGAATGTCTGGGAACACCAAATCAATATTACTCAAGGTCAAGTCCAATATGAGTTACATATGGATACTAAAAGGATCTCACAATAATGTAAAAATTGAAATATGTTGACCTTGTGTTCTTTGGATTATCCCTTGCTTTGTACATTAGATCTGCATGAAGATAGCCCAAAGTAAGGAATGTAAGCCATACTCCTGATGGAAATTCTGCCTCAAATGCATACTGTGCTAGCAGTTGTACTAGAATCTGACATACAACAGGCCTCAACTGGATCTGACATATACTGATTATCTTCCAGATGCTCAGAACTAACACGGACTACTTTGAGAATGTGAACTCTCAGTATCTTAACTATAATTTTACATTCTTAAATGCCCAATTGTAAGAATTGTGGCAATGTACTTGTATCATCCTTCATTATGTAAACAACTTGGGCCTGCAGAAGCTGTTTGCAGTGTCACCTGTCTTAACGAAATGTAAGATACCATAGCATAGGGTCGAACTGGTTTTTTTTTTGTTACAGGTAACATCGAAATACAAAGAAATAGGAGAAAACTAGGCCTGGAATGTGAAAAGAAAGTAAAATTCAGATTTTTGTAGGCTGCATTTCTTACCTGCAGGATTGCGAAATCGCTTTTGTCCTTTCACTTTCTTGCTTGTTTTTCCTTCAGCAGATAAAGAGGAAGCTGTCGCACTGACTGGTCTATTGATGTTCTTCACTGTAATGGCATTACTATTCAGCTCGGCCATGAGGGAAATGCCATCAGCCCCACTGCAAGCGGCCATGCAGGAACTAACATGGCGCGGCTCAATCTTCTTGAACCGCGTGGGTTTCGTCTCGCAGCCGTGGTTGCCAGCCCCTCATAGCCCAGCTTTTGCGTTGTCCTATTGCGTCGCTTGTTAAGCTGCATCATTTATCATGCAGTTAGCATTCCATCCATATATATTCCGTTCATATAATCAACTTTTTGCCTACGATATGTGAAATTGAGCTTCATAGGCTTCGTGGGGCCTCAAAGTAGCCATCAGCATGATAGTAAAGCTTAGCAATTTCGTTTTGATATGAAATTATTTAAGTAGATGCGGGATCGTTAAAAGTAAAAGTTGTTCTTATTGGAGTAATGAATGTTTGGGAGAAGTAGTAGTCTTCAAACATGGGATCTGTTGCGTAATGAGGAGACCTAGGGATATTCAAAGCATCTCTCATTGCCAACTAGGTTTCAAGAACTAAGCAACACCTGCATAGAACACATATGTGTCAACCAAGTCTTATGCAGTGGAACCGTCATTCTATCATGTTTCTTTATTTCTAAAATTAACGATTTTTCAAAAACAATACTCTTTGCTTTGATTCAGATATGTCAGGATTAAAATTTTAAATTTAATGGAAATTAATATGCTCCTAGAGCACAGTGGGATTTTATCTGAGATGGCTGTAAAATAGGTCATGTCTTGACATTTTTCTGCAGTTGTTCGGTGATTTGTATTAATATTTATTTTTAACAATAAGCAAAGACTCAAGCATATGAATGGACCCTGGATTGCCAGATGGATTATCATATCTTGAAATTGCAGAACTGCAATAATGACATTGTATTAATGGTTCAATCTAGGTTCCATTGAGGGTGGTCAGAATTTTTCAGCATTCAATTTCCCCAGTCTTGCATTACTATTTGTCTGTTCTTAAAGAATGGTATGAAGTATCCAATTGAGAAACTAATGACATTTTTGGAGTGATTACTCAGATGAAGTCTGTTGTGATGTGCAGTAAAAAAAAAAAAGTCAACTATATTATAACTTAGCATCTGCACCTTTCAGGAGTACAATCAATATGTTGATTAGTGAAGTAGGTCAGTGTTCTCTGGAAGAAAATTTCAAGTTAATGGAGATAAAAGACAAGCCTTTAGTACACACATCCATGCTCATAAAAAATAGGCTGACCATATGGCAGCTTTTTCACTAAATCATTTTCTTGGGATTTCTCAAATGGCCTCTTCATTGTGCCCAAGGAAGTTGGAAGGAACTGATAAAATGAAATTAAACTGTGCTTGCTCATTGGCAACAGATTTCAATATGAAACAGTCTACAATTCTTGCTCATTTCTCAGTGAGTTAACTTCAAATTATTCTTTAAAAAGAAATTGTTTTACTGAAAACAAGTTTGTGACAAAATATCAGCATCCTTGGATCCATATCTGATCCTTTGACCACGTCCTTGATTGAGTTTTTGCAAATTTAAGAAGATTAATCAAATTATCCATATTAGCACCCTCATTACACCCTGTACTACTGCTACTTTACTTACTATGCAGTGCTTCTCTTTCATGGGTGAAGCCACACAAGGAGGTGTAATCCAAGTATGCCAGTGCCAAGAAGACCTTGGCCAAAGTCATAATTGCCTTTCCAACTCGGGAAAAAGCCTGGGTTAGACTTGATCAGCCGGTTCAACACATAAAATCTCTCGGGCAGTGTTGAGGTGGTACATATTCATTTTAAAAGGAAACCAATTTGCAGGAATATCAAGGGTCTTTCTGATATATTGAATTGTTTTATGTGATATTTGCCTAGCAGGTTCAAACATGACAGACAAGATCCTCCAAACTGCAATTGACCAATGGCTCCTTTGGGACAAGGTTTGTTATCATTTTTAAGGTTCTTTCTCAACCCTTTAAGTAAACCCTTTGATGTATGAGGGATGTACCAAAAGTATTGCATCATTTGCCACCAAAATATTATCTTTTACATCACATTCATGAAAACTTGCACACACCATTCCAAAACATTGCTATTGGTATTGATTCTCAATTTAGTCACCTCTCACCTGGATGCACTTTTTCCAATATTCAGTCCAACTTTGAAAACTGGTTTTGAAAAAATTATTGTCATATGAGCTGATCCACTCATGAATTGACTGTTGTCATGCTTTTATGCATCAAGGTTTGATGATTATGATTAGTATAATGTTATGACATACACAAAATTCCTTAGCACACTCATAAATTGTCATATGACACTTTCCTGAATCAGTTCAAATTGTTGCACATCATGCACAACATATGCCAGATGTCCAGAGCATGGTCCATATATCGCATCTGTTTCACCAGCCATAAATCAATTGACCTTCCTCTGAACATCATTAGGTGCAATTTGGACCCACCAGACACTCTCTTCAGTAGACTATGAATTGCTCTGGCAGACTTTCAATAGAAACTTGATTACTAAATATTGCTTCACTTTGTCATACATGTTGTTTGTAAGCTTCAGTCAAGGCTAACATATGCAAATAAAAGATGAATGATCCAGCTAAAATCACAGGAATCACAGGAAGGATCTTTTGATATAAACACGGCTGATTTTACAATATATGATGTGGTACTTTTTTTTAGTGCACCCCTCCTAGGATAAATGAATCAATCTTGGAAAGTTACTGTTTGCTTGACTATTGCTAGTTCTATTTGTACAATTTCCTGTTAAATGCTAAAGGATTAAAGTGAAGGTGAAAATGTTTTGTTGATACTCATATGTTTTTATTCTGTTTGAATCAGCTGATAAATTTTTGTTACATGTTGCATTATTGATATACATGAGATTCTGAAAGTGAGAATAGTAAAGGAGATATGGTCACCATGCAAAAATATACCTAGCTTCTCAATGAAATTAATCTATTCTAAAACTAGTGAGCTGCTATTCTGTTTGTTAATAAGATCCAGGAATGTTGTGTTTGGATGCCTTGTATAGATGCCCCCTCCCCATGCACCAGTCCATGTAAGGATAATAACCTCTAGATATCTAGTTTGAGGATTATTATAGTGTATTGTATGTGCAATTTAACTTTGGTCTTATTTTTTTCTCAAGGATTGTAATAATGGGAAAGTAACTTTTTCAAGTCCACGTGAGACTTTTACACCATGATTACAATACTGAAGTTCTTGCATTATAAAAGTGTTTTGTTCATTGGATTGAAGTTGTATCTTTTTATACCAGATGCCTATTGCTTTCTCTCTATGGGTAATATTTATTTTACAATTTATTCCCAAGTATGGATGTTAAAATTCTGGAAAGTTCATATGAGGAATTTAAATGTTTCCAAGTTTCTTATGCTTCTGAAAAACCACTTACCCAGGCTGAATCAAAAAGTAACAGTTCAGCATTTCTGACTGCTGGACACTTGGAAGAATTCAAGCATTTTTAACGTATGAAGACATTTCCAGGTTCATTGTTGACAATATTGGATGTCTAGTAAAGAAAACCCTGGTGAGAAAGTAACTTTGGTACTATTGTGGAAGAGATGAATTCACAAAGCCCTTTTTTCTCAGAATAGAAGAGTCACCATCAGGAGAGTGCCAGGAATGTCAGGGGCAGACCTATTAACAAAATATCAGCTAAAAGTTTGAAATTTGGGATATTACATGTATACCCATTGTAGTTCAGGGTAAAATTCCTTAAATCCTGCATAACCTATTCTATTTCCCTAATTATCTCAAAGGCTTAGACCTCTAATCTTGAAGCATGCAATTTAATGAATATTCTGTAAAGGCCATTTTTGCCCCATCTCCCAGAGAACTGCATTGAAAACATGAATGCTCCTGCAAGACTGCATTCAGTTCTCATCTTTAATAAGCATGATACACACCTTTTCAGAGTACCCTTAAATTCTGCCCTTGAAGATTAGAAGTTGGTCTTAGAGCCAAAGGAGGGCAAATGAACCATTGAACCATGTCTTGTTTTTATCACATGATTTTTTAGTGTTTGCTCCCTTTTTTTCCCTATGGTATGGTAGGGTCAAATATCTGAGTTCAAAGCAGCAAGCTTTGTGCTTACATCTCTAGTCATTTTTCAGTTTAGCCTTTTTGATAAATAATAAAGACAATTGTAGCATTTATTCACATTGTAAGCTTTTAGGAGCTAACTAAGGTAACCTTTTTGCAGAAAACAATGCTCACAGATTCAATATATAAATAAATAAATAAACTTTTTCCAGAATGAAAAAACAAGACAGCAAATAGAAGAACTTGTCCACAAGAAGGATATGGAGCAACTCAGGATATTGCTTCTGGATCGCCAGACATTTGGCACAGCAGGGATCAGAGCAGAGATGGGTCCTGGCAATAGTTGTCTGAATGACCTTGTCATCATACAAACAAATCAGGGATTGGTGACATATATGTCAAGAGTCTTTGATCAGCTAAAGGAGAAAGGAATTGTTGTTGGATTCGATGCTCGTCATAATAGTCACAGGTAACATTTTGTTGAAACACATCATCATTAGTGCTACACCAAAATTGCAATGAAGTACTATTTCAGGGGATGCTCTCAACTTTTTTGAGCGCTGGGAGTAGACAAGAGATTTCTACATGCATGTTACACTTGAAAAAAAGTTTTTTTTTATGTCCTCCATCTTACAAGTATCATTTGCATGTTTCTGCAATCACTTCCTTTGTACATTCATTTACATGGAATCAATACCACTGCAATTGCTCTCAGTTTTACACAAAAAAAACTCCTCATTGCAAATGGCAGCTCTTGCTCATCCATTTGAATTATCGTTAAGTATTCAGGTACTGAGTTTGATTAAATACCTTTGCAATCTTGCTATTGTAATCAAGCTATGCTGAAACTTGAAACAGTTGCTCTTTTGATGATTTACCATAAAGTCAAGGTGAACATCTGATTTTTTTGTCTGAGGAGAGTATGCAAGAAGTAATTCTTGGAAAGTTCCAGTGGAAAAGATACTCCAAGATGACTTTAGGTGTCAGTTGAACATTGCAGAAAGGTATCAGGAAATGCTTAGATTTGTAGCTGTAGTAGATTAAGAATTTAAGATGGTCCAAAAATTTATGAATGAAGATAATAAGGCCAGTTTCATGTTTTTCTGTGCAATGTCTGGAAGTCACTCCATTCAACTTTATGCTGTGTCACATCTCATTATAGATCCTGAGGTCTTCAGAAGCCACTTCACATGTGAGAAAACCAAGAAAAGGTGTTTCTCAAGGGCATTATAGCTTCCAGATCTCAAACTATGTTATATTTTACTTCATGGACTACTGAAGTATAAAGCATGCTTTCCAGATCCATTTCACTGCAAGAATTTAAATGTAAAAAATTACTTTGGAATAGTTGTAATGGTCAAATTGAATTATCTAGAACCATTATTCTTGCCTATTAAAAAATATTCAAGGTGTTATGGTCACCTTGTTCTTTAGCATGACAGCCATTATTTGAGCCTCATTCAATATCAGGAATAGGAAATTCAGGTCCTATTATTTCTAATTACAGCTGGGCCCAACTCACAGCTAGCATTTTCATCAACCACGGTGTTCCAGTTTACCTCTATCCGAAGATCTGCCCCACCCCATTTGTTCCTTATGGGATTATAGAGTTTGGATGTTGTGCTGGAATCATGATCACAGCCTCTCATAACCCAAAGAATGACAATGGTTTCAAAGTCTACTGGAATAATGGTGCTCAGGTATGAGCCCTTTAGAACTTTCTTTTCCTCCTCACCTATATTTATGACTGCTAGTGTTTTCTGTGTTGTCCATAGATTGTTTCACCTCATGACAAAGGGATCCAGGCATGTATAGAGGAATGCTTGGAACCTTGGGAGACATCATGGGATACATCAGTCTTGCAAATGAGCCCACTCAAGAAAGACCCACTTCCTCAGGTGAACTTTTCTCTATAGAATATCTTACTGTCTTTGCTGTCATCACATCATGTTCTGATGATCATGAGTTCTGCATAGGCATGGGATGACAAACTGGAACTACTGGAGAATGGCATAATGAATTGCCTCAAGATAGTTATCAGCAGCAGTTTCAATCGAACTGAAAATTCATTTTACTTCAGCATTACATACCATTAGTTTTGCTGTTTCAGCCTGATTGGTTTGTATCAGTCTGATTAAGATTGTGCATCAAGGACAAGGATGTCATAAAATATAGTGATATTAGGTTGCAGGAGGAACAGCATATCACATCTACAAAAGGTCTTCTCTACTTTTTGCAGGTAATGGATTCCTATTACAAGTATTTGGTTGCTATGTCATATGACAGGCAGTTGAATGCCAACACAGCAATTAAGTTCACCTTCACACCTATGCATGGAGTTGGAGAAGAATATGTTGAGCATGCATTCTCTGTCTGTGGATTCAAGGTAAGACATTGCAGAAATAAACCATGGAGTCCTTGCAGATGTTTGTGCCCTGAGTATTATTTGATTCTTGCAGCCATTTGTCAAAGTTGAGAAGCAGAAGGACCCAGACCCTGACTTTCCAACTGTGCCTTTTCCTAATCCTGAAGAGGGAAAGTGTGCCCTTGATTTAGCTATGCAGGCAGCTGCTGAAGCCCACTCTGGTGTCATTCTTGCTAATGACCCAGATGCTGATCGACTAGGGGTTGCTGAAAAATTACCCAAGTAAGCTCATGCTGGAAAAGTGTCAGAGACATTCATGAGAAATATCCAGTATGATTCATGGTCAAAATTTTGATGCCTTACCTTGCCTAGTGGAGAATGGAAAATCTTCACAGGGAATGAGATTGGTGCCTTGCTAGGCTGGTGGCTATGGCATTGTTATAAGCACAAGAATCCCCAGTGTGACCCAAATGATGTATATATGATCAGTACTGCAGTATCTTCAAAGATACTTGCTGCCATTGCAAAGAAAGAGGGCTTTCACTTTGTGGTGAGTTTCTTGAAGTTTACTTTTATCAACTAAAATTTTTATCTATATGGATATCACATGCTTTGGAAAAAAATTTTCACCAGGAAACTTTAACTGGTTTCAAATGGATGGGAAACAAGGCTGAAGAATTCATGAAGAAAGGAAAAACTGTCCTATTTGCCTTTGAAGAGGCCATTGGATTTATGTGTGGGCCAAGGCCACTCGACAAGGATGGCATCAATGCTTGTATTCGACTTGCTGAACTAGTTGCATATCTGGAACAGATTGAGAAGAGGAGTCTCAGTGAGAAACTGCTAAACATCTATTCCACGTGTGTCCCATGGTTATCTCCCAGAATCTATCATACTGAATGCATAGTGAATGTTATCTGCCTGCATTCTCAAAAATATGAATAGTGCTTTTCACTAGAGTTAGACAATTTTTCACTTGACTCAGACACATGTGCATGGGACATTCCTCATGCATGAGTGTTGAAGTCAAGTGAGAAAGAATCTGACCATCAATTTCACTGAAGTGAAAAACACTGTAGAAGGAATGGAATTGGTATCATGAATCTGTTTATGTGAATCAATGTTCCATCCCTTACAATTGATACACTATTGAAATTTAAAATTGATACATTGCAGTGCATTTGTTAAATGGGATGCACCCTTACAAAATCAGAAATAGATTGCCCTTACAGAGTCATTTCAATATCTCCTTGAAAAAGGTTATTACAAACACAACCATTAAAAAGGTTAGACTTAGTGCATGGATTATGGATTATTTAATGCTTATCCCAGTACAGCTCCAAGAGTCTCATTTGAACTCCTAATGGTATTGATTCAGGTATGGGTATCATGTGAACCGAAATTCATACTACCTCACCCATGATCCTGAAAGAATCAAGGTCCTGTTCAACCGATTGAGGAACTTCCCTGGATCTTCCATTGGTGTAAGGACAGTTCTTGATTGGACTGCCTTTTTTTTTTACATTCATGGTCTTTTTGCATCACTGTTATTCTTCATGTCCCCATGCAAGTATCCAGAGAGATGCGGTACTTTTCCAATCAAGCATGTCCGTGATCTAACGGTGGGATATGACTCCTCCCAAGTGAATAAGAAACCTATTCTGCCTACCTCCAAATCCTCACAGATGATCACATTCTACCTTGAGAATGGATGTGTGGCCACTCTTAGAACAAGTGGAACTGAGCCCAAGGTCAAATACTATGCAGAAATCTGTACTGAACCTGATGGCATGTAAGTCCCCAAATCCCTTATGTTGTGTATATCCCTGATATAAGTAGATATGATGAGGTCATTGTTTTTCAGGGATTGGGCTGCTTTGGATGAAATCATTTCCACAGTTGAACAGCACATCATTGAAGATTTCATGCAACCCAGTGTCAATGGACTTCTTCCCAAGCCAGTCTGATTCCATCCTTCATTCTCATTACTTTATTCACTCCTCATTTCCAGATTGTTGGGAGGATTCCTTGGGATGGTGGTACCATGTTTTTATGACCATCACAGGATATAATTATCCCTTTCAAACTGGAATTGATGGTTGGATAATTCTTCATGTTAGTTCTAAATTGGTAATTGTAAATGCTTGATGGAGTGACTGTTAGTTTACATGAATGAAGCCTAACAACGACCAGAGTACATAGAGATAGAAGCTTCATCTCAGCTGCATTTTGTTCCATGTGTCGTGGCTTCTTCCTTGCTCTCTGAAAATTTCCTGGTACTAGTGTGAGATCTACTTGTCACCAAAGTGCAATACTGTGTGATTCCATTATTTCATTTCCTGTCCTAGAGTTTATACTTCCATTTAACTAGTGCCTATTTGCTTTTTTTGGAAAATATTGTTTTAGTCAAGTTTGTTTCTTGAATACTCCAATTTCCACTCGCTGGAGTAGTCTGCATTGCCAATAATAATTTACCAGTATTCTCATCATAGGTTCCCCATGCCTATGTAGGTTAGTGTTCTGTATGTGTATGCAGTTCTGTATGTACTGGAAAGGGGCTTGCCCAGGAGCATACAAAAGAGGGGAGAAAAGGTTTATTTAGATGTGTTGCTTGAATTGAGAGCTCCAAGTGATCCCTGAAATATGTCTTACATCCAACATACATTTCATGTGATTCAGGAAATGCAGATCTGAGGTTTAATGTTCCTTTTTGTATCCATGTGCCCTTAGGGTCTGATTTGTGTGGGAGGGAGGGTTTAATTACTGTTGGTCATAATTCAGAATGGGAACCCTTATTGGCCTGTGGATTGTGAAGTCCTTGTTAAGTGGAATCCATTCCATTTTCCAAACCGATTTTGGGTTGGAAGAGCTCATATTGCATCCACAAACGGGTTCTCAATTGCATTGGTAACTGTTTAAGTATGTGCACTGCATTTTGTTGAAATGTTTGTTCTTGCTCCAAATTTCTATTGCTTGTCATTATTTTGGCAATTGTACACTGAACTGTAGAGGTGGACATGTGATTATTCAATTCAGGTCTTCCCTTACCTTTTGAAGTTTCAGTCCTCCAGATATTTCTCCTGTTGGAGTTTCAAATGATGGGAAACTCGTGCCATGATTTCTTTCATTTCATTTCAAATTTTTCATTCTGGGGCATTGCTGTAAATTGAAGAATAAAGATATAAGCAACTATTTTGTTGTTATTCTCTTCTACTTATGTTGCACTAAGTCACCATGAACTGCCCAAGCAGGGTGGTGTTAAAAATAGAGGGTGTGATGGAATGAAGTCAGGATTATTAGTTGAATATTGTAATATCAAACTAGCATTTATTCTTCTTCAACTGCAGAGGCTTGAGATATGAGTGTGTATCCAGCATTGTCCCTCAAAAACGTCTCCAAGTCTTTGAGAAAACTCTGCATCTTGTCGTCGTTCTGGAAGGAGGAGCCAGACGTTTCTATGAAATTTCTTTCGCGCGTGACATAACTTGCTTCAGAGCTTTGAGGAATCACCAATTTTCCGAGAAGAATATCAAGGTCTTGACCGATGAGATGGCTGACTGGAGTGACACAAAGGGGACTCCATTGGGTATATGAGGCTATGGTTTCTTCATAGAGCAGAATGGCCAAACAGGCATCTTCCTCTCGTGCTTCCTCCCTAAGAGACAATGCTGCCAGACTTTCCGCCATCCTCGTTCTACTAGGGAGAAAGAAAGGTTTAATCAAGAATGACTTCCAGTCTTACTGTTGCCACTGTCTCAGTTAAAACGGACATGGTGTGGATAGCAGACTGGGGGAGGTTAGGGACTCCACTGCCACTCCGCATTCTTCGGCTGGCGACATAATAACCCTGAATGAGGAATTCTCCAGCCTTATTCACCATCGGTCTCAACCCCCCCGCCACCTCTAACAGCTGTCGATGAAAATAAAAAGTTTAGGAGTCCAACCATTAGACGAGCCCTGAATGCGAACATACCTGCATGAAATTATTGAATCCGAGATACGCCTCAATATGTGAATCATCGAGGAGATGCGAAATGAGCAGGTGTTGACTCTCGTCTGCCTCCTCCACGTTGATTATTAGATCAAACGCCCTGGACATTGCGTCAATATTTATCTTTTTAGCAATGCCTTGGTTCATTTTTATCATCAGTAATTCCAGAGAAGTCTCCTGAAAGGCTCACTCTTGGAAGGGAACTTTCAGGATCTCAAAGCTCGGTTTTCTTGAGCCCTTTGTAGACGATGTGCATTGAGCCCAAAGCCCAGCTCTCAGAGGCTGTTCATATACCCCAGCTGCTTTCCACGGGATTCCGATTGTTACACTCCCTTTTTCCATGCCTGAAATGACAATCGTCAAGTAAATGGCACACAAAAAAAAAAAGAAGAATCATTAAATGAAACATTTTAAAAGTCCTCATCATCGAAAGCTCTCGTATTACTGACATTGTCGAAGGAGTGTGAGTTGTTCCTTCTTATAGCCGAGAAGATCCCCAAGGAAGCAGACGCCACAAGAGGCCAAGAGGAGGCTTCCAGCCTCGAGAGAGAATTCCTCAGGATTCCACGAATCTCTTACAGCCAATCCAGTGAGGGGAATCAAACTAGTGTGAACGTGGGCCATAGAGTGCGGAGAAAGACGCATGGCCCATCTCATCAGCTTCCCGATCGTTCCCGCCTCTCCACCGCAGCAAAGAATGCTCAGACTTCGCTCCTACATCGCACAGAAGAAAATTGTCAAACCACCTCGTGAATACTACGTACAGTACTTGAGAATGCACCCACACATTCAGAGCCGTAAATACCCCATGTGGCGCCCTGGGGCAGGGAATCATGGATGTGCCCCCCCCCCCCCTTCCCTGGCGTTTTCCCTGACTTGTGCCTGCCAGTCCTCCTAGAACTAGTACCTGGGTATCCACGTCTGAGTTTGCACGCTCTCCCTTTAAGTGAATCTGAATGCCAAAGACTAGTTGGCTTTTTTAAAATTCAAGTTTACGGAATAGTCATGAGCTCTTGAGTATTCCAAGAGTATTGACACGCTTGCGAGTCTCCCTCTATAATTGGGGATATAGCTATATGGGTTAGAGCCACCTGGAAAAAAGACCCCTAGAATTGTTAAAAGCTGAATAAAAGCCACCCGAGATGAAAATGCATGAAAGCCACCCGGGTGGTTGCTTCGTAATTATTCATTTCTCTATATTTATACACATCAGATAATTAAAGACTTTCACTTGGTGATGTTGAGACACATTCACACAGGGATGTGGCTCATTATTATCCATGTTTTTATTATTTAAGGTGAATTTCCATCAATTATTCAAGTATAACATCACTGATTTTTCTTTTCCATTTAGTATAAAACGATGGAAGATGCAAAGCATCGCTCGATTGGAAGCACTTCTTTAAATCTATAAAAATTTTATTTTCCTACTTTCATTATGAAGGGAAGAAGGGCTCTGTTCAGCTATGAACATGGACTCATCTCAACGCAGTGCTTGAACAGGCTTCGGGGGTGATTAAGGAGGGGGCTAATCCTGACCCTCTCCACTCCCTGGAAAAAGGTATGAAAGTGGAAAGTAGGGAGATAAAGTAAGAAACCTTACATGACCTTACATGAAGCAATTGTTATTTGAGAACAAATACCAAGAAGCGTTCAGAGAGTGGAACCACCTCATCCTACAACACGGCCACAATCAAAAGATTTCCTGCGGGGGGGGGGGGGGGGGGGGGGGGGACTACAACACGGCCACAATCAAAAGATTTCCTGGGGGGGGGGGGGGGTGTTGGCCATACTGCTCATGTTTAAGGAATGTTCTGAAGTTGGACTTGTTTTATTTTTCAGAAAATTTCAGTGAAGTTGATCAAATTACATGACATCAATTTCACTAAATGTCCCAAAAATGAGTGAGTCTTTACTCTGACCCGAACATAACGGGATGACACTTTTCTGCCTTTGCCAAATCTGGGTGTCTTATTTCCGGGTGGCTTTTTCCCTAAACCCCTATACAGTAATTATAGCACAGCTTTCCTTACTTTGCGAAACGCAAAGATGTCAATGATCAAAATCCACATTTGCTGCTTGATTTTATTTTCACTGCGCAACACTTTTTTTTTCTGTGCCTCATTCGCTTGCTTCGCCCCCCTCCCTTCTCGGCGCCCCCTTCCTTAGGTGGCGCCCGGGGCAGGTGCCCCCCCTTATTTACGGCCCTGCACACATTAGCATATGCATACATGGATGCGAGTGGAGACGAGAGCGAGAAGAAGGACGAGCCGGAGTCGGTGGAAGGTTCCCTGAGGTGCCAGGGTTTCCCCAAACACCCACGCCAAGCTCAGCGGGAAACTGAAGGGTGATGCCATTCGGTCTCGATAGAGACGAAGCATCTTCAAGGGCAGATTTCTCATAGCTTTCTCTCCGAATGCGGGACTGAGAACTGGATCGTGAGGTCCCCTTTGAAGTATGTTGTTCACCTCGAGATAGACCTGACGGGTTCTAGAGTCTTGAAACGGGTACACGACCAACGTGTATCGAGTCCCCAGTTCTACCTCTTTTGCCACGTCATCTGTGATTTGTCCAAATGTTCATCGCATTTTGTAAAAATACACGGTTTATCCATGGGATTAAACTGATTTTTAATGTATAGAGCACATGCAGACGACGTCACGAGTGGCATGAAAGCAATGTAAAAACCAAAATTTTCCACTCGCTTTCATATTCCATGTAGTACGAGACTGTGACTTTTTTTCATAACAAAATAGAACTTTTTGCATTTCTCTCTCCACACTCGAGACATTTTTTACTTTGTCCAAATACCCTCTACATAGTGCAATTGAAAAAGCAATGCCTTAGATTAGAGATAATGAGCAACCTGCACCGGATTCATTAAACCTGAAGGTATTCACATATATACCGGACTTATAATCGATTCCATTTGACTGGGTTGATACTCCTATATAAGTCCATTTTGGAAATGAATACATTCGAGTCTATATGCTTCATGTCGCCCATTATGAAGAAACCTAAAACATTTGGTCAGTGGCTGGTGAGGATTCTTTTTTTCGCAGGCCAAGGTCTTTCACTTCATTATGGCCTTTCGTTTCTCGATCAAACAAAAAGTTTAAATCTGGCCATGTTACAAAGTCAGGCCCTCTCCAGCAGCGATTCAGCAGTCTACTTCTGGTAGTTGAACTTAAGTTCTTGAATCTATTCTTGTAGTTACAGTATGAGCTACTTGACTAGCCCTTTTTGGCAGTAATCAAATTACAGGACTGCCACTGAAGAGCGTCATTGACAATGCTATTTATTCCAATTTCAACTTATTGCTTAACATAAAAGGGCACGAGATGAAAAACCTACATTAAAAAAATCCTCTCAGACACTGATCACCGCAGAGTTTTTTTTTTTTTACCTTATCTTTAGCATGGAAGAGACAAAGCTTGCATCAGTTAGTTTCTCTTCACTTACCCTTGCAGAGAGGAGAATGCTTACCTCTGAAGTACACCTTGAGACTTTGCTGATAAAAAGTATCAGAAGTAGAACTTTGGGCAAAAGCTTTGCTCGGCACCATGAGACACTCCACCTGAGAGAGGGAAAATCCGAATGAGAGTGCACCCCGACCGTGACGCTCGAGATCGCAGAAAGCGGAGCGTTGCCTTGTCAGCCAGGATCCTGGCGGTAGGGTCTTCGCCGAGGGGACACCCACACGAGGGGCACGAGACCAATTTCGGCAACATCTCGGCCTCCATGGATCCCGGTTTCTGCACTTTCACCTGGGTCCCTTCGCAGGAATCGGACGAGCAGAGGAAGACGGCGCATTCCCTGCCAAAGTATCAACACGAAATGAAGCATTGTTCGTTTCCAAAGGTAAAAGAGACATCAGAGACATGGGGTAGGATCAGAAGGATTCAGTTCGTTCACCCAATGTTACATCATTAGTATTTCTCGCTTCCTTCGCGAGTGCATGTATATTTCACCTTGAAAACCGCTGTAAATCGAAGATCGTTTGAGACGGCACGTACGTGTATTTAGTGGTTGAAGATCTCGAGAGAAGAACGGCGTGGAAGAGGAAAGGACGAGACTCCTGGGGGAAAGGCGAAATCCCCTCAATCACATAATCCGGCAAAGATGGGAAATGGGAAAATCGGATCCTCGTCACCACCTGGTCCCTCCATACCCTTCCTTTGGGGACCAAATCCAGGGCCATCATGGAGTTATAAATGGCCTCACGAAACAGAGAATGGGCCTCCTCAGGCTGGTGCAGAAGTAAATCTCCCAGACCACCTCGAGAGAGATAGAAGACTTCTTTTTAAAAAAATGTAATGCTGTATTCGGCAGAAACGACTGTTTATAGCCAGTATTTACCTTCCTCGTCGAGGATGCGGAGGGGATCTAGGTGAATGAGGAATTTGAAAATTGTCTTCCTTGTGGCTTTGCCAACTCCCAATGTCGTCGACACGACTCGTTTCATTTCGTCGAAGTATTTGATTCTACCCAACTGACGAATGGCACCGAACAGCATAGGCCGCTTTCGATCCAGATCGTCAAATTCCATCTTTCGCTCCCAAAAGAAGCGAATCCCTGAACAAGGAGAGATGATCATTCGAAACGAGAGCGAGAAAAGCGGAAATCCATCCCAATCGCATCGCAATGAAGAGGTCCTGCCCGTTCTCTTCGAATATCAGAGCAGGGTTAACTTGGTTGGACTTAGCTCCCTTCCCCTCGCGAGGAAATCCGTTGTCGATAAACTGCCCTGGCAGAAGGTGCCCTGTCGATGGAATATGAACTTGTGCTTTTTCATCTTCCTCTACTGGTCTCTCGCGAAGGGCGGTGAGTCCCGTACGAATCAAGTCAGATTAAGAAAGAATGTAGCGAGCGCATCGACTTCTTTCGGAAAGGGTGACGTTCTATTCATGATGTCATTACCGAATCTGCGAACGTCTTCCCGTGTGCTTTTAACTACTATTTCAGCGTCGTTATTTAAGTGCAAAAGAAATATATTACTGTTATTTCGCATTATCCTGTCGATGTTGGCTCACGAAACCTCACATGTTAAGTACAGGCTGAGAACAGTTTGCATGGAGTGCTTCGTTCAGTCATCAGCTCGACAGACTTATGAAAATGTTGATAGTTCTCTGCTACGGAGCTGATAGGAACGTTTCTGCCACGTCACAGGTTTAGATTTCAGACCCATAGGTCCTCAAGAGGAGGCGGGGAGGGGGGGTTCAAAGTTGGCATCTATGCAATATACTCTTGGTGTAGAGAATCCAGCTCCAAGGCCCAGAAATGTCCTGCTCATTATGGTGGACGACTTGCGTCCAGCCCTCGCTCCCTACGGGGACCGTGTCGCCATCACACCAAATGTCCAACGATTGGCTAACACGTCCGTCTTATTCTCTCGGGCTTACGCGCAAGTAAGAAACGAGACTGCACTGCACTTGTTACATCCCACTGTCTTCAGCTGTGCAACGAAGTAGATGCAGTTACTCTCTTCTCGTTCCCGATGCAGCAAGCCTTGTGTGCACCGAGCAGAAATTCCATGCTGACAAGCAGGATACCTGATACCGTCAGGCTCTACGACTTTTATTCCTATTGGAGGAATTCTTCCGGAAATTTCACGACTCTTCCTCAATACTACAAGGATCATGGCTATACAACGGTATCCGTGGGAAAAGTGTTCCATCCTGGTCAGTGCCCCCTTGTATCAATAGAAACGCATGTTGAGTTTGCTATTAGTATCCTTATCGGCTCAAGAAATTTTCGGAATGCACATTGCTTCAACCCAGGGAAAAGTAGCAACGGAAACGATGATGAACCTTACAGTTGGTCGAAAGAGCCTTACCATCCATCGACCGAGAAATACAAGGAGAGCCCGGTCTGCCTTGACCGAGATGGATCCCTTCACAAGAACCTCGTGTGTCCCGTGGATATAAAGGAAATGCCAGAAGGAACACTGCCAGACGTCCAAAGCACCGAATTTGCCGTGAAGATGCTGAACGACTTTGCAAGAAACGATTCTAGGTCCCCGTTTTTCCTGGCTGTCGGTTACCACAAACCGCACGTTCCCCTCAAGTATCCCAAAGAATTTCTCGGTCAGAGAATCATCATTTTTCTCTCTCGCTGCTTTCTCTCGTCCGTCTAACGAGCAGAACTCCCTTGGAATGTAGATTTGTACCCCTTGGAGAAGATGCCTTTACCGGATTATCGGAGGAAACCGCCGAAAATGCCTCTGGTCGCATGGAACCCATGGACGGACCTCAGAGAAAGGGAAGACGTTCGAGCTCTCAATCTCACTTTTCCCTTCCAGCTTATACCAGGTAAAATACTAAGTGGTAGAGAGAACTCTTCCTCTACTGCTAAATCGAACGAAAAAACCCGTCTCCTGACTTTTCCTCATCAGACGATTTCTCGAGACGAATCCGTCAGAGCTATTACGCAGCGACGTCTTACATGGACAGTCTCGTCGGTCAGCTCTTGGGGAATCTCACGGACCTGGGCCTCAGGAACAACACTATTGTCGTCCTTCTCGGCGATCACGGTGAACTGCTTCGTGTCTATACCCACACAGCTTTTTCGGTGAAGTCATACGGAAATGAGAATGTTTCAGTGATTGTTTCCGTCCCCTATCTCAGGCTGGTCTCTGGGAGAGCACGGGGAATGGTCGAAATACAGCGACTTCGAAGTTGCCACTCGTGTGCCTCTCCTCTTTTCTGTACCGGATCTGGTACGAAAAGGTCCTCGAATCGTGAAGGACCCAGTGGAACTGACAGACCTCTTCCCCACCCTCGTCGATTTGTCCGGTCTCCCCAAATTGCAAAAGTGCCCGAAAAATGATTTGTCTCGTTCCGTTCCCCTTTGCACCGAAGGCGTGAACCTGTCTCCCCTGATCCGGAATCCCTCATCGACGAACCATCGCCCGAGATCGAACGACATCGAAGACGGAAGCCCTCGCATGACGACCGCAGCCTTCTCGCAATATCCTCGGCCGGGGATCCAACCGGCTCGGGACTCGGACAAACCCAGGCTGAAACACATCCGCATCATGGGATATTCCATTCGAACCGAGCGCTATCGCTATACGGAATGGGTCGCCTTTTCCCCGAAAAACTTCACGGCGCATTGGGACGAAAGGTTTGCCGTGGAACTCTACGACCATCGATCCGACCCCGATGAGAACTTCAACGTGGCTGAATCGAAGAAGCACTCACGCCTTCTGAAAAAGCTCTCCGCTGCATTGCGGAATCGAGACAGAGTTCCCACCAGATTGTAACATTTACTCCATGTCCCTTGAGAAGACCTGTATCGTCTGTTCTTCCCGTTCAGTTTCAGGGGCATTCATGCATACGTAGAGCATAAATCTAGAATCTTTTCCCTTTTCAACTGCAATAAAGCTTAATTACCCGTATTTAGCTTAGAGTGATTCCATTAACAGGCTTTTATACTAAAGAGCCTTTTAAATTTATTTAGATATAACGGGTCCTTTGCCTAAAGACAGAACAAGAATCGAACCTAGGCCTTATTCATGTTCCACTCATCTACAACGACTGTACTTGCCTGCTCGAATCGGACCAATGACGCACCAGAGCTCAGAACTTCTTTGCTAAACGCGCTCGTATTGAGAGGGTTTGAGAGCAAACGCTGAGGGAGATACCCAGGAACTCTCAACGTAATCGTTTAACGAGACCGGATTTTCAGCAGAGAACTACTAGGCCTACACAGTGAATGGTCGAGAGTCGTCCCTGATTGGATCAGTCTTCCACCGATGCTTCTGACATCTAGCAGGGTCTTATGGAAGCAATGCTCAGCTTTCGCTATGCAATACGATGAGCATATCGTAAGGAATCCGATTATAGGATCTGCCATATCCATTCTTTGTAGCGCAGTCAACTGTCATCTAGGGTGCGTCTTGACATAACTGAGGTTCGCTATTCAACTCACACCGAAGTCAGATCATCATGTAGACGATTAACCTGCAGGGTGCAGGATCAAATTGCGGTGAGACGGGAAAAAATTTCACACTTACTGCTGCAAATTCAGAATGCCTTCGTGCATTTTCGTGCATATTCGAATCGACCTCATACCTCCTTACGAACTTTTCCGGGCTAAACTCTGTCCAGCCAAATTAATTCTAACCATCGTTTGGGCCTACCTACGACAGCGGAACTGAAGTTTTCTCTGATCTTGTACATAACGTGAACTGGTATTCGGAGTGTCACTTGATACGAAACACCGTTAGCACATGTGTGAAACTCATCGCAAACTCACTGTAACGCTTACTTTCATCGAGGCGAAAAATCAGCTTATGGAATCCCAGCCCGCGAACACGACAGTAGAAAACGGGGCAGAGAAGCATCAACTCGCCTTGACTTGCAGGCGAAGTTGCAAGTTCAAAAGCTTGCTTTTCGTACTCTCTCCCTCTCCGATCGAGCGCTAAATCTTCAGAAGCAGCAGTCGCCGGAGAAGGTAGGACAAATCTACTTCAAATTATTTTGGTTCTGGCTTTGCATTCCGTAAAATCAAACATCCAGCTTAAAGGCCGTTGTCAGCCTCTTCGGAAATACAGCCTTTACGAGACACAAGACACAAAAGCCACGTAGGCGAACATGATCCGGGCTCGAGTCGGCTCTGGAACGGGAAAGTGAGTCTCGAGTCACTTCGTCCGGCCTGCAGGAGGGAGGCGAACGGATGGGCGGAGCTTAACTGGCGCGCTGTTCGTGACGTCATTCGCTTCCTTGCCCGGGAAACTCATGCTCATGCTCATGGCATACACCAGATGGCATGGCATGCTCCAGATCGGTTTTATCTGATGAGCTTTTATCCTACAAGGGGAATGTGTAAGAAATAAGCTCGACCCATTTCTGTGGATTCTTGGAGTCCATTTATACCACGTATGGCTGGCTTTGGATTCAAATTGAATCGATGGTGTCTGTTAACCAATAGTTCACAGTTGAATGAACAATATTAAAGGACCTTGAGGAGAAAAAATTGCGAAAAGAAGACTTGCCATGATCATTTCGTTACGTTTAAGGATTCGGGAAGCATCACTCGAAAAAGAAAACCGCACAGAAAAGAGTCAAATCCTTCAGGACCTGTCACTCACCACCGTTAAAAAAAAATTACTTTTGAATACACCATCATTTCAGAAGTTTTGAATTGACTCCCTCCCACCCAGTGGCGGATACAGGGGGGGGGCGGGGGGGGCGACCGCCCCCCCCATGGCCAGGGTAGGATTTGATTAAGGTAGGAACTTTGGAACCGCCCCCCCTATGAAAAATTTCTATATCCGCACTGCTCCCACCCTCGGTTAGATGTGCTGCAAATGCTTTTTTTTTTTACTAGGCACTCCCGAAAAGCTTTGATGTAATAGCCCCTTCGCTCAGGAAGGAATATCTTTTCATTCATCACTACATCCCTCCATTTGTGATGATTACTTGCACCAGATGTCTCTCTAATGCTATTGATAACAGTGCTAGAGACAGGGGGCGTGTCTTTTTTGCTAGCGGCTCTGCTAGCTCTGCCGAGGCCCCCAGCATCCGATGACGTCATTTTAAGGCTTAGCTGCTCAGCGTTCTCGTAGTTCGTTATGTTCCACTGGCAGCTGCTTGCCCAATAGTGACGTCAAACAATGACGTGGTCTTACCTAGCCAGCGCGTCTTTTTCGCTAACAGCTACTAGCAGCTGGAGAAAAAGACGTGCCCAGGAGGTAGGAGGTAAAAGTCTGTTCGAGAATACAGTGAAGCGTGACCGACTGTGGTCGTGTGACTGTCTGACCGATCCACTCGTCTAGATGGAGTTCGCAAGTTGACTTCGTGTTTCAGGGGTACAAACTCAATTCAAACTCGATCATTCTGTCGATTCCATCATTTCTCTGCTCCCGTTTTTCAAATGTCCGGTCCTGGTTTTTCACATCGTTGGAGATCGATTCACGTCCAGGTCCAGTCACTTCAGATCAGAATTTCCTGACTGAAATCTGCGGCCTGCATTGTAATCGTAGCTCTATTCTCACCCCCCCCCCCCCCCCCCCCCCNCCCCCCCCCCCCCCCCCCCCCCCCCCCGGCTCTTCATACTCCTGCTTGCGATATGAAGAGAAGGAACGGGAAGGAGACGCCATTAAAACCCTCCGACCCAAAGCCAAAGTCGTCCAGACCCATCGCTCCTTTTCCCGTGAAATCCATTCCTTCTACTTCAGGATCGCTTCCCTCAAGTATCGCCTCAGCTTCTTCCTCTTACAAAATATCCTCATGGATCCACCGTGGCGTGACGACAGGTGGATGACAGGGGGATAGGAGTCGGATTTGGAACCAGGTGGATGTCCCTCCAAGTGGAAATCCACCTGGGCACGTGTATTTGGAACCAGGTGGAGATCCCTCCAGCAGGTGGATTTCCGCATAGAGGGTCATCCACCTGGTTGAGTGGACGTTTTGTAAAGTTCGAAGTCTTTTGTGTTGGGATCGACTAATTCAGATTCAGCGCTGGGAAGTTCAGTTCATCCGGAACTTATTCTCGGCCTCTTCTCGAACGGGCTACGGGGAAAGGGGCAATAAAAAAGTAATTGTTTTACGCATGGCCAACTTTTGTTGTCGGGATTTCGTACTGCGAATCAGAACATTCAATGAAAGCATTGCTAGCATTTATTGCTGAAGATATTGCAACCCGTCGGGAAACGAGGATATGCTTCACACGAAGGCAGTGCTAGGGTTGGTTCATGCGGCTTCCCTTAAGGCTCTCAGGAATGACGTTTCTTCCGGGAAGTCCTGACGGAAACGGCGACGAGACCCACCAGACGGAATCCCACGGTCAGGGCGATCAGGCTCCCGATGTCTGCCAATATATTCCTCTGCAATCACATCGTTCATCAACCATCACTCCTTGCAGCGTTACATCCGCGATCGAGACTTAACGAAGGTAAATGACCTTGTCGAAGTTAAACATGCGAAGAACAGCGGGGCCATCACCGGGACAGGTGGCATTGAAACCGTGGCAGTCCACGAAATCCACGTCCTCCCATTGATTTATGGCCAAGGCCTCGTTGCCGTAGAGGAACCACGAGAGATACTTGAGCCAGATCAAGCCCTGCGGCACGGATCTGACCCGGACACGAAATCAAAGGATGAGAAAGAAAGAAAAAAAAAAACAATCCGCACGAAGATTTTGACGGCACCGACCCGTCGTTGAGATAGTATCCGCCGAGGAGCATGAAAGGCACGATGACGGCTGGACCCACGGCAAGACCCATGTGCATGTTGCTACTCACGCACGATATCATGTACCCTGAAATCCATCAGACGCAGGCATCAATTTTCATTTCGATGGCATTCTCGAAGATCGCAGGATTCCCTCGTACCGAAGGAGCAGGCAGCATTGGAGACGAGGATGTTGACGGCGAGGGCGACGAAGAACTTCGAGGCGGATCTCTGGAGTCCGATGAGGAAATACGTGGGAAGAGTGAAGACGATCGGAAGGAGGACGAAGAGGGGGAGTTCCGCCAGGGACCGACTCACGAAGTAGACCGGTACGCGGTAAAGCCCCGCTTGTTGCTCTCGTTCGAAGATCGGATACTCCGCGCAAAACACCTGCTCCAGCAGAGAAACTCAAAGCTTAAAACCCCTCGTGTACTAAATAGAGTGAGCATCGCGTGGGATCGTGTTCCCAGAAACGAGGAAGCAGTACGTAAGCCTTCCTAGCCGCGAGGCCGCGAAGAGCATGAACACTCTTTCATTGTCGGTCGGGAAAATAAAGAAATCGGAGAGAAATAACCGAGAAAAACCTTGTTTTCGGTTCTGGGATGGCATGAATGGGACCAGCTCAGCGGATGATGCACCCACGGAGCTAAGGAAAGGGATCGTCGAGCTCTCTGGAGCCGTGGGGGGTGGTGGGACAGAAAGGGGCCATGTGGCCAAACGGGGTCACCCAGATTTAGACCAAAGCATCTTTGATATTTACCGTATCATGACCCCTTACCACGGTTTCGAGGCTTTTACCATGGCATCGCCCTATAAAGCTCTCCGTAAGCACTCTCGGAGCAGACAAGTGACCCTTCTCATTTTGCTTCGAGTTTTTGTTCAGCGAAACAAAATGCCATCGGAACTTTGGAGGGGTCTAAGATTTTTTTTATCGTCTAAGGTGAAAATGTGAGCTCTGACGCGTTTATTGCATAGCTCTTTCACTCTTTCTTGTCGCTATCATAGGCAGTGCTGGTGGAGCAAAATGGCAAATGGAGCATCGCGGCCAATACGTATCTCTTATTCCCTATTGTAATGGCCATTGTAGCTCTGTTTTATGGTGAACAAAAATGGGTTACATAACCCTGCAAGGTAGTAGCGCAGGCCAATATGCAGAATGGAGCCTGTAACTCATTAAAAGTTTTAAAAGTGAAGTTTTCGCTTCCGAGTTTTCGTCTCCTGCTTAAAGCCCGATGAAGGTTGGGTGACAAGCTCTTTTGCCAAAAGTGGGGTGATGGCGCAGATTGTTGTCGTAGTCGTAGATAAACTATGTGAAGTACCGCGTATCGATCCACAACGTGTTGCGCCATTTCCTCGATAATCTAATGAATTTCGCTTAACGTTGTTCTCCATCTTTCCCTCGGCCGCTCACGCATTCAATCCATCCTTCATCTCGCATTAGTCAATCTCTCAAGTCGTTCAGGCCTTCGAACGACTCGAGCCCAGCACATGAGAATAGACTCCCCACGACGGTGGACTGCATCTCTCACCGCGAGCATGCCGTCTCCCCTAGTCGGGTTCGGATATGCCCTCTGGGGTCAGGGCTCGAGGGAACGTAGGCTATCGGCTTTTCGTTTTTTTTTTTCCTCCCGTAAGCCAATCTTCTCTCGAATGGAGCATGCTCGTCTGGCATTTCCATTGAGTTTTTCTTTCCGGCGAGAACAGTATATCTGTGGAGGCTTTCCTCCCACAGACGATTCCCGCATTCCCTTTCTTTGGTTAGTCATCCACCGAGAACCGATTCGAAGAGAGACGTACCGTGGATACAATTACAGTCGTGCGAGAGAGTGGTTGCGACGGCGAAATAGTTCGGTATATCCGTATATACAGTATATATAGGAAATATGGAAGGCAGAGTCCTCACGCTGACGACAGCGAATGCATTCTGGAAAGTCATATTGGCGACGAGGAGGAACAAGGCCCCGCTGATGTTGAGCACCCCTTCCGCGTCCAGCCTCTGCCCCATGAACATCAGTCCCTGGATCAACGCCACCAGCTGCAAGTGTCGACGCGGGTGACCGGGACGGGCGAGACGTGAGTTGCGAGTCGGGCTCACGCGTGAACTTACCAGGGTCTCGAGAAGTCGGACCTTGACGATGAGCGGTTCCCTCACCACGGCCAGGGTGGATCTCCACAGGAGAGCCCGGAACTGAGTGGTGACACCCACTCGGTACGGCGACGCACCGGCCAGGGCGTTGGCGATCATCTTCTTCTCCAACGGGCTGACAAACGGAGGCTCTCTCTGGCCCAGGACTCTTTGGACCTTTTCGAAGGAATCGCACAGATGACGAACCCTAGCCCTCCCGTCGTCTTCTTCTCCGGGGACGACGGATAACACCGAGATGTAGAAATCTGCTGGATTGTAGTTCTCGGGGCATACGAAACCCTTGCTGCAAGGAAGAAAAAAACATCGTAACATGATACTCCCCAGCGGCATCGTTCCGAGTGATTCAATTCTTTCTGTCTGTAATATTTTCCAGATCCTCCCTACCCCCCCCCCCCCCCATCTCTTAGCAAGCTGAAAAATGTTAAATTTGCTAGTTAAAGCAATCGAGTTAGACGCTCGATTGCTTAACGGACGAAACGTATAGAAGCGAGAGGGTACTCGTGGAAGAATTGGGTCGCGGAGTCGGTGTCGCCGAGGAAGGCAACCCTGCCGTCGGCGAGCAGAAGGAGCCGATGAAACAAGGCGAAGACTTGCGACGACGGCTGGTGCACGGTGGCCACCACCGTCTTGCCCCCGCCGGCCAGCGCCCTCAGGACTCCCATCACGGTGCTTGCCGCGTGTGAGTCTAGGCCCGACGTCGGCTCGTCGCAGAATAGCACCGCCGGGTTCGTCACGATCTGTGGCAGCGAGAGAAGTTCCATCGTAATGCTTCTTTCCTGGCGAGCTCGGTGCGTTTCGCGTGCCGCTGATACATGCGTTTAAGCGTTTATTTTCGAGGAGCAGACCATTGGAGACTCCGATGGGAACTCATTTTTATGCGTATGATAAAGGATCGACCCGAGCAGGAAAATCCCTGGGAAATCTTCGAACTCGACAGGGGACATCTCCTCTTACGTTGTCACTCCATCGCTATTTCTCGTTAAGGTTCCTCGTGTTGCAAATCCCCCACATGGGTATTACTTTCCGCCGGTTGCAAGAGAGAGCGTTACGGAAGGACCGGAAAGCGGCTCACTTCGGAGGCGAATGCGAGTCTGCGTCTCTCTCCGCCGGAAATGCCATTCCCCGGGGTTCCGATCAAGGAATCGGCGCACTTCACCAGGCCGAGCTGAAACACAAGCGATCCCACTCGATCGGATCCTCGAGAATGGACCCACCGGAGATCCCTCGAGACGTCCAGCGTCGGCAGACGTCGAACGGAGGCAGGCTCGACCCGAGCCGACTCGACCTCCGTCGGACGATCTACTTCTGCTGCATGCGACGAGACGCCGCCGACGCCTCTCGTTGTACCTCTGCGATGACCTCCTCGACTCGGTGCATCTTCTCCTCGGTGCCCAGTTCCCGTCCCATCCGTACCATGGCCTGATGCGAATGCGCGAAAATCAATCCGACGTCCCGGGGAGTCGCGACTCGGAAGGGAGGTGGTCTCGCCTGGAATTGGAGGTGTTCCCTCACGGTGAGGGTGGAGAAGAAGACGTCGTCCTGGGTGACGTAGGCCGAGAGGGCCGCCAAGGTGTCGCCGCCCACGGAGACGCCGTTCAATCGGACGACGCCGGTCGTCGTCAGCCGCGACGACGTCCGGAAGGTGAGGACGTCCAACAGCGTCGTCTTCCCCGCTCCACTGACGTCCCGAGTCGTCGTGCGATTCCACTTATTATTCAGGAAAACTCGATGAAAATGAGAAGTAAGGAAATTTGACCGACCTGGAGCCCATGATCGCCAGGAGTTCCCCCGGTCGAACGGTCCCCGACACTTGAAAGACACAAAAAATCGAGATGAAACTTCGCGCCGACTCGCGACCTGATGCTTCTCGAGACGGAGATCGACAACCGTCCTTGAGGATGTGCCGGCGAAATCCATGCTCGAAGCCGTTCCGGGTCTCCGGCGCGTACACGTTCACGTTCTCCCACGACAGGGTCACGTCGGTGGGCTTGCAGGTCACTTCGGTGGGCTTGCGGTCGTTCGAGAGGGCCTCGTCGCTTCCGTGCTCCTCCGCCGTGCTTTCCATCGGGCTCTCCGTCTCCACCGAGGAATTTTCCTGCGGCAATCGTGGCAAAATGCTTGGGAGCGAGAAGTGCAATTCGTCTCTTCCATCTTTTTGCGTGTGCAAAAGCGACATCTTTTGGTTCGCGAGAACTGGCACTCGTTCTCAAAACATTCTCAAAACTCGTCACTTTCACTTGTTAACAATTTCTTTGACAGACTAAAGGCAGCTATGGGTAAACGCCATCTCGTTTCAAATCCTACGAAGTAAGCGGACAAAGTTGACAATTTTTTCCTATCTGGAAGTGAGGCCAACGTTGGCCTCACTTCCAGATAGGCAGAATTTAGCGGATCCGAGAGGAAGCGGCTCACGACGAGAACTTCCTGGACAGCCCTCGAGTTTTCGACTTCAGATGGTGCTAATCATCCCAAGCTTATGCTAATCTCATCTTTAATCAAGGCCCATCAAGGGCTAAGGCCAAAATCATTTCTCGCAGATTCCCCCATGCCACTTTCAATAGTTTTAGTAGTTTTTAAATCCGATAGTTCGATGCGATCTGAAATAACGAGAGGAAAATAAAATCTCCAATCCGCATGAATGTAAATTGTCATGTTGACCCACGAAAATTTCGTCACAATTATTTGATGCGCGATAAAAAAAATTTGCGGTGGAGTCGGCATTTGCGAAATAAATAGTCAATATTTAACATATAAACTTATTCTCTGGGATTTGAATGTCACCTTGCATAAAGAAGCGCTTATAATTGTTCTGAGGAAAATCAACAACCGTGCGACGAGAGAGAGTAGTTGCAAATTCTCTCGGCAGATGGCAGGAGCATTCCAAGTCGCTCGAATGGGTGCAAAACGCGCTAGGGATCGAGAATTGCCGACTCCGAATCGAATATTTGAGTCAGAACGCTCGTTTAAAAGATGATGGAAGAAATTATTCGAATCGCTGGGTTATCGAAAACGAAAAGAGTTTTTTAAAAAAATAATTGGGAACGGACGACCGAACGCGAAGCGGCTGGCTCACCAAGAGGAAGGAGGAATATGTGGGATGGCATCCGCGTCGATCGAAGAGAAGGCGGCCGCGTTCGCCGGGGTTCCTCATCGTGTCGGGGCGACGGGAGGTCCCGGTCGCACTGCTGCCCGTTCGAGCCCTGTCCTCCCTCAACTGGGTCATCGGCTGGGTAAGCTCATTAAGGGGGGGGGGGGGGGGGGGGGGGGGGGGAGGGGGGCGGGGGGGGGGGACAAAAGATGTCGCTTTTGCACACGCAAAAAGATGGAAGAGACGAATTGCACTTCTCGCTCCCAAGCATTTTGCCACGATTGCCGCAGGAAAATTCCTCGGTGGAGACGGGGTACTGGGGGAAGTGCAGGTAAGACGGAAGTCTTCCAGGGGCTTTTGGACCACCCGGCCCGAGCCGGGAAGGAAAAAGCCATATATAAAGAGGCCGAGATGTGACGACATCACCTTGCGTTTTTTCTTCCCCGTGTGTGTCGACTCCTTTCCGCACGCCAACATGTAGTCTGCTCTTCCCACACGGTCACACGAGGTGAGCACAAACCTTCGAGTTTTTCCAACTTTTTTCCAAACTTCCTTCGAAAGAGGACCTTATCGACTTCTTCCGTCGATTTTGTTAAAAATGCTCCTCGCGGTCATTCGGTTTAGTTTTCGACGCGAGGGCGTCGTAAGCGTTCCGTCCTATACCGAACCTCGAATCCCGTCGGGGACCGGAAAACCGTCGCACGTAACGAAACTCTTCGAAGGAAGCGATGCAGCGGAACCCAAAGCATGGGGAATGAGCTACTCCGAGCGCAGAAACCTCTTGAGACCGCTGGAAGCCGGGTCCGTCCGCCCCTCCATCTGGTTCGGCCCTGGACTCGTGGAACTGGAGGAGGCCTTCCCGCCCAGGAGTCACCTCTCTCGCCTCTCTCGCAAGTTTTCCTCTCCCGCCTGCCAAGCCTTCCTCGTCTGCCTCGGACTGTGAGTCTCCGGGAACGAGTTCCCCCGACGAGTTTCCTTAGCGGTGCCGTCGAACGGATCGTGATCCCCCTCCGTCTCTCGGAACGACGAACAGGTTGTCGGTGGTCGTGGGGCTCATGCTGCTTCTCTATTGGTTGGCCCTCGATAACGAATCCGGCAAGTTTCCCGACTCCACTCCCAATCCCAGCAGTATTGGCACCAGTACCAGTACCAATCCCAGCAGTATTAGCACCAGTACCAGTACCAATCCCAGCAGTATTAGCACCAGTACCAGTACCAGTCCCAGCAGTATTAGCACCAGTACCAGTACCAGTCCTAGCAGTATTAACACCAGTACCAGTACAAGTTCAAGTATCAGTACCAGTATCAGGACCAGTACGAGTACAAGTGCAAGTACCGGTACCAGTACTAGTACGAGCGGAAGTAGCAAGACAAGAACGATCTCGCCGCCCACCTCCCCTGCCTTTCTCTCCTCGTCTTGGGCGGAATATTCTTCTCAATCCCCTATTCCCTCTACGCTCATCTGAGGTATCTGTGTTCAACATAGCCCAACGACGGCGTTTCTCGCCATCTAAAGTGTCTCACTAGTCATGATCGCTAAATGTACAGAATAAAAAAAAAGATTGGAAACGAAAGACGACATTCTCGTGTTCCATTTGGGCCTCTCCCGGCTTGTCGATCCAGCCGGAGACCGTTCTCTTCCAGGGAAGGAGGAACAGCTGATGGAAGACGGCTGATGGAAGACGATCGATGGAAGATGGCTGCCAGACGAGATGCGTTGGCCTGTCATCACGACAGACGGCGTTGTGGGGTGGAATAGAAATGCCATGAGCGCCTTCTGTCGGGTGGCAGGTCCGCGATCACCGGCTCGGGCGATTCCGGATGGGCGGATCCCCATGAGGCGAATCCGGATGGGCGGATGGCCATGAGGCGAGTCCGGATGGGCGGATGGCCATGAGGCGAATGCGATCTTCTTTTCAGTCGATATCAGTTCCGAAGAATCGCGATTCTCCTTTCTAAATTGTCATTTTAATATCATTTTTTATATCGAGAGCGAGAATCGTTTCGATTACGTGGAGATGGACCGCGTCGATGCAGAGCCTACGCAAAGCCAGCAAAAAATAAGGAGAAGACTAGAGGCACTCGAAAATGCCCCGTCGAAAACCCGCGTGCCGTTCCATTATGACAATTGTGCGAGAATTTTAAGCGATTCCTCTTTTGGATCGGAGTGATGTCGAGATACTCGTTTATTTCAACTGCCGAAGTGCTTCAAATATAACTCATTAAGATGTAAATTTTTCACATCCATCCAGAGGCCATGCGAACTCCCGACAACCGCCAAGGGCACCACCGAGACTGCACCCGTTTCCTGCCATTTCCTCATTAGGGAATGCATCCTTTCTCGCTTAGCATGCAAAGCGTTTCTCGGATGGAATGCACGGTGGCCATGCGATAAGCCTCCTTCTGCCCCGGCACGCAGACTCCACGCGGAAGCCTCCTCCCCCCTCACCCTGCAGGCTTTCCTCAGTCGGGACCGGACGGAGGGAACGAGGACCCATTGGAGAGGGAACGAGGACCCAATGGAGAGGCTCCGATGGGACGACGGCCCAATGGAGAGACTCCGTGGGGGGAGACCCAATCGGGTGACACGGTGACATCCGATGGGCCGGGATCCGATTCCATTGGATCCGACGGAATCGGACTTGGAGCCGGTTTCGACATCTTCCCGGTTTCTTTTTTTTTTTTTTTCT